ACTTCAAACCATTGACACCCTGAAGTTTGCAGGGTTCAATAGACACATGATGTGTTAGCATTTGCCTATGTACCTGAAAGGTTTGCTAGGAGGTTACCAATATCAGTGTGTCGTGTGCTGCAGAAATGGACTTTTCGATACCAGCAAGTGTGTGGACTTACCATGTAGTATTTGCGACACTTGAATTCACAATAGCTTGACCATCCAATTGGTACATAAGTTTATCATTGTTTTACACTTTTAGTTCTTGGTCAGCATTGATTTGTTCTCTCCATCAAAAGAACTAATTGCTCAATTATACGAGAAGTGAAACAGAGCCATGTTCAGATTCATTTAATTGGTTTCCCTGTGTTTTATTGAAGACTAAAATATGATTTATGGTATACGGGTACAGAGCCTACTTTCTGCAATTAGTACAGAACACTGCTAGTTGCTCTTAATAATAGTTAGATTTGTCAGAACATTATATCTTGTTTACACAGCTAGCTGATTATTGCTTAATAGTAATAGTTAATTTGGCATTACAGAACACTCCAATCAGCACATCCATAGTACAAAACAGAGCATAATACATCGCTAGTTGCTTTTAAAGTTGCTATTTCTGAATCATGTTTCTAGGCCAATATAGTACATTGTATCTTTATCGAGATCTTGACTAACTATCCATAAAAAAAGATCTTGACTAACTATATTTCAATATGGCAGCACGCGTAATTTTTCCATTCTACCCAGCCATGAAGAAGGCGTCCACCCATGAGCTATTATTCAGTAAGTATCAGGAAAAATCTAGTATTTATAATCTGTTTGTACAGATTAAATAAGCAGTGTACATATATTTAGTTATCATTCAGGTGCTGGTTATGCCTTTATAAATTGCAAAAGAAATGTGTAAACTGGTTCTACGTTTGAGATACTAATTCTATATTTCCGATATATTTTTCCTTGTATGGCCTGAATAGTAAAGCAAATATTGGTCATTCGCACAACTCATTTTTATTTCTCTTATACCTATGACACTGTATTCCCTACGGACGTTTATTTTTTTTGGAAACAAGTGTTGGAATATTGGCTGCTGGTACCTATGCACAGTAACTTAAGTATGTCCCTAGGAACACTAAATGCTCAGCAATCGTACAGAGGGCTTCTATGCCACATCCATGGCCACTGCTGGGAGTCGATTGGTGGTCTTCATGTTCCGCTACTTTTATAGATTAGATAAGTGTATTCCTAATTCTGTGCTCATTTCATAAATTAATTGAACATTCTAATAATTGAGACTTCTTTATCTTCTGTAGGAAGCAAACATAAGGAAATGAACCATGAAGCCGGCAATCCGCGTCAACTAGATGTTTTAGCTTTCAGTTTGTACAACTGATGTCTCATAATTGTGTCTTTTTGCTGTCCTTATGTAAACCTGATGTATGGTATCTTGTCTTGGTGGTTAGAACAGATTGAACTGTATGTATGTGACAATTAGTTAATGGAATAAAAATGGTTTGGTGCACCTGATGTGAACCCGATGTATGATGTCTTGTGATTATGCTTAGAACACATGAACTATATGTATGTTACAATCAATATGATATGCTAATTAAAGTTGTGGTTGGCTAAACAAAATGTTGAGGAATTATTGGTCGGCAAAAGAAAACGCCATCAAATTGTTGGTTGGCAAAAGAAACCCCATCAAACAGTCGGTCGGGAAAGGCTAACACAAGGCCCAACAAAATGTTGGTCGGGAAAGAATACCCATCTGATAGTCGGTCGGGAAAGGCCCATGGTTACCCTCAGAGGCGGACCACGAAAAAAAATTAAGGTGGGGCGAAGTCTCACTAAGAATTTTTTTGATGTGAATCAAAGGAGTCAATACACACTAACAATGCACACTACAAATGAATAACAAAATACAATGAAAATGTAGACATGTTCAATAGGAAAACAACCTTAAAACATACCGATAATGAAGCTTATAATGGCGTCTAGAAGACCCAGGTAATGGCAGTGCCCTACTCTCCTTCTGAAAATCTTCCTTAATTTTATTAAGAGCAATACTTTTGAAGATCTATCACACAATGTAAGACATATTCCTTAATTTTACCAAGTGGACATGATAAATATACCTCTTCCTCCTCTTTCTTTTGCATTTGCTGGTCCTTTCCCCTCCTTTTCCATCTTATGGACAGAAGTCACAGAACTACGCCGGTTGGGAATCTTATTAGCTTGTATGTATGTATAATCATCTAAAAACAAAAGGGATTATTCCATCTGTGCCCCCAATTCCTTAGTTGTACTCAGTTTTCCCCACTCGCTCATTTTGCCTTGGTTTTGAGCAACTTTTCATGGGCAAAAGTGAGGAAAATGTGAAGGCAAAAATTTTGAGTCATGGGAAAAAGTGAGTAAAAAGTTAACGAATGGGGAAAAGTGAGGACAACTAAGAGACGAGGGGCATAGATTTAAATAACCCAAAACAAAAACCTGTGCTTACACTAGCATGGATGAAAGATATAATTGTATAAACAAAGTGGCAATGGCTGCAAATAGTTCAGAGCAGAGGAGTGGTTTAGAGTTTCAGACCCTAGCATATTACCAGGAAAATCCCCAATTGTCGTCGCCCGCTGGAGCCGCCGCTTGCTGCCGCCGCCCTCTAAGCCCCCGGCCAGCCGCCGCCGTCCGGCCGTCAACTGCCCCGTCGTCGGTTGCCCACAGCCCTCCTCATCCTCACGACCTGGCCAGCCGCCGCCGCCGCGCTAGCTGCTTAGGGTTGCATCGCAGCTGGGTGTCGTGTCTCGTGTGCGTGAGCGCTGGATCAATCTCGACCGGTTGTTACTGGCCCAAGTGCCCAACAGCTGGATGCGTCGCGTCGGCCCATCAGGCCAGGCTGGCCAGCGTTGGGTGCGGTCAAACGAGTCAAGGAATTTATGCAAGTATCGATGCATATGTATATTTTTTTTTGGCCCAGAAGTAAGGTATGGCGGCCGCCATACCCAGCCCACTGGAGAGGTCCGCCAGTGGTTACCCTAACGGACTGTTGGTCGGGAAAGGCCCATGGCAGGCCCAACAAACTGTTGGTCGGGAAAAATACCCCTTAGCCATCAACCAGTCGGTCGGGAAAAGGCTTTCCCGTCTGGACTTTCCCCAACAGAGAACATCGGTCGGCAATAGTCTTTCCCAACAGACTGTCTGTCGGCAGACGTTGTTTTTCCGACCAACTTGTGTGTCGAGGATGTAGTGTTGTGGTGTAGTGATGCTATTTGGACCTCGTGGTTAGTTGCCGAAAAAGGGTTTCCCCCCGCTTTGTATACAAAGCAACCAACCGGATCATACAGGGATAGGTGCTGGGGCGGAAGCAGCACAGTCACGCCCAAAAGAAACAACAGAGAAAGAGCAAAAGAAACAAATGCCGACAACGGCGGATCAACAAAAACGAAGAAGCCTCGCGATCGCTAGGCCCACCGGTCTTATCCACTAGGCTCCAAGACTCCGAAGCGCCGACACCAATCAACACCTTCAAGAAGGATCGCGACGATGACGACGCTGCTGCCAAGGGTTTCCCCCGGTACACGACGAGGCGATAGGAAGAGTAGCCCCCGACGCCCTCCCGGAAGGTCAGGCGGCACCCACAGGCGCCACCGCGCCGGGGTCGGCCACGCCGACAGGGGTTTCCCCCGATCCCAACCCGCACCTCGGGCGCTCCGGATCCCGCCACCAAACCAACCACCACCCTACGCCAACGCAGACATGAGGCCTCCACGCCGTCTCACCACGGCACCGCGAAGTGAGAACAGCACGACGAAGAATCAGAGCCGGGACTAGGGCATCAGCACCATCGGCACGCGGGAGGGCCCCACCTCCACCATCAGCGACAGTAGCCGTCCGGACGCAATAGCAGGAGCACACCAGGCCCGTAGGCCCACAGGCCCGGCCGAGCCCTCGTGGGCCCGTAAAGCTCCCGCCTTCGCGCTGCTGCCGGCACGCCATCGACGCCGACGCCCCAAGTCCGAGCCGCTCCTCCTCCTCACCGCGCCGCAGACAACGAGACCATGCCGGGGGGCCGGCCCCCAGGGGCCCAGATGGGGCCCGACGTGCCCGGATCTGGGCCGGGGGCGCGTCGACGGCCACCCGACACCACCACGCCGCCCCGCCGCCAAGGAGCGGCGCCGTCACCACGCCGGCCGCCGGCCGCCACAGCAGGGCCGCCGGACCGCAGCCAAGCCGGGCTGCACC